TGGAGTTCTTGTGTAAATACGTCAAGTGAAGCGATGAGCGCGGGATACAGAGCCGGGTGTTCATACGCTGTGTTTACTCTGTTTGGATGGGTCTTAACTGTGCTCGCGTGTCTTGTCCTTGGCCTGAAGCTGCACAGGTTTAAAGACATCCAGCACGCACACTCTTCCTCTGAGATTTCATTACAGAAAGACATGGCTGGTGTACAGGGCCAACACAAATGGCACTATCACAAGTCACTTCTTTCACTCTCACACCTCAGTCCTTTAAACTGAGCCTTATTTCCTGCAGCATTTTTTTTTTATTCTCAATCAGGGGTTATCTGAAAGGAAGGAATCACTTTCTACCTGAAACCTGCTGAGTGAAATGACATGGTTGGATAATGACGGCTGCGAGATAAGAGGCAAAGAAAAAAGGGAGAGAAAGAGAGGGCTTCAGTGTCGTTTCATAAAAATACGCTGGGAGCTGAAAAATGAGAAGGTTGGCGTGATGATAAACAGAGACGGCGCTGTAATGAGGAAGCGGTTATACAGGCTATACGGGAAAGGCAGGTATTTAAAAATGCCGTGTGACCAGCAGAGGCTGCGGTGCTGAAGAGACACAGCACCACCAAGAGGCCGAGGGCCGTCACTGCATCAAGGCAAGGATGCGCTGCATGTTGAGCTCAGATTCAGGGACTTATTACTTTTTTAGATTTTAAATTTTTTCGTAAAATTCAGTTTGGCAGACAAAACCAAAATCTATTCATTATTCAAGGCTCTTTGCATACAAGAATTATCTGTGTGCAGCTGGAATTGGGGGGCCTTTGCCCGCCCTGGATTGGAAGCTGTGTTATTATTTATTTATTTATTATATCTTTTACTTTGGAGTGGCCAACTTTCTATTATTCCTGTCTCAATTTAATACAGTATGGGGATCACAGAATTATCAGTTCTTGGCATATAAGCGTCAAAAAATAAGTAAAAGTCATTTTAAGAAACCACAACTTTGTCATAATCAGATATTTTCCCGTTTTAAACAAGTCCTGATGAAAATGTTTTAGTATATCATGGTTATAGGAAACGTGTTTCTGTATCACAGTTTTAAAGGAGAAGTTGCTGGCTGTCTTAAATAGTGACCTCCAAACTTTAATTCTTCCAGATCTCAAAATAAGACCTGAGAAATCAACACAAAAAGCATAAACGGAAAATATATTACTGATTATTTCTGCTAATACTTGGAGCATAAACATGCTTTACCTGTATAATTTTGTAAGAAGATCCCAAAAAATCACAACTGTTGGGTTTCCCACGCTTAACTTTTGGACCAATGTCTAAAACACACACGCATACACACACACACACACACACACACACACATATATGTGTGTGTGTGTATATATATATATATATATATATATATATATATATATATATATATATATATAACATTTTATTTCCAGGAACAATATGAAGTTTATTACTAATCAAAGATTCTCCCATGTGCTTAAAAAGTGAAAAGTATTTTTCAAATACATTTCCTAGGAATGGGTGCCAATCAGGTGATATGTGAATATGTCACTTATGGTGTTTTTCACACTTAATAAATTAACTTGAAACAGTTTTTGTGACTTTGCTGTTGCATTGAACGCAGTGATAGGGTTTCTGATGCATGTTTATCATTGGTGCTGTGTCTAAAAGCCACTCTTGAACTCCAAATATCAAGTGTTTGACTGGATTTGGATCAAATTACACCAACATGCCTCAAAGGTGGCTCTGTCTGGATGACGTGGTCCCCCATGTCTTTAATTTCTTCAGATTTCTGATGTAACAAGAGAAAAATAAAATAAAGTGAGACTCTGACGGTGGGGAATCTGGTCGACTTGACATGACTTCGGGTTGGATCACTAAAAATCTCATTAAGCTGCTTCGTTCTCTGTTCTTTGAATAAATCAGTCTCTGCTCATCTCTGTTCAAATCCAAAAGAACATCTTTATATTCTCACGCCTCATTTTTTTCATTGCATTCTGTTTTAAATTCAAAATCTTTATCTTTAAGTCGGACAGAATTTTTTTCTACAGCTTCTTTTTAATGTTCCAGCTTCTGCTTGGACACGTTTAGATCAAAGGTCACATTTAATTTCTGACCATTTTTAAGCCTCTAATTACGATAAATGTTTGCAGAAGTGATTCTGCAGTTTATTAGATTTGTTAAATCTAATATTAGGAATCAAAAAGAAGAGCTCTGGAAGATCTGAAGTGAATCACACAAGTGTTTGATTTGGCTGATAAAAGGTGTCCTCTTGTGAGCGAGTGCATTCTCACTTTGTGACGCTGACGATGAAAACTACACACTTTTTGGGTTTGGCGGCGAGAAATGAAAACACAATTAACTCAGTTCACCTCATCAAAAGACCAGCTCTGATTGTAGAGACGGTTTTATTTAACACGTGTGGAGCTTCGTGATTATTTTTGTGACTTCTCCCCGAAAGAGGTGGGATTGCGATGATAAATTTTGGAAAGCGTGATGTGTTGATGGTGCAGACGAACCCCTCTGAACGCAGCTCTCATAAATTAGAACATAAAGCCCGAACGAGAGAGGAAACCCACAGCTTTGTTCTGAGCAGCAGGGATCGTGCTGGGTCGGTCTTGGAGGTGATGTAGCGAGACGTAACGACTACTCCGAGAAGACGGGATCATTAGAGCGGCTTCTGTGCATGTGAAAGAATGGAAATTATTTTAGGAGATGTTCAAAGTAGTCTATTGTTGGAAAAGAATCGTAATTAGAAGGCTAACGACACTCAATCATGACCCCTCCAATTACTAAGACGAGGAGTTTGTTCTCATCAGATGAGCCTCAGATCCTCTCTGCCCTTTACCTCCCCCTCATTAGCATAATCCCTCAGGAATACCAAAGATAATGAGTCGAGCTGCACCTTCAGTAAACACGCCTCGTCTCTCTTCCTCTCTGTGTGTGTGTGTGCGCGCCTGTCTGAAAGCGGCTGATGCTCAGTGTGGACATGGTTCATTAGTCGAGCCTCTGCGTGATTCCTCTGGTTCTTTTTAATCACCCCTGTGACTCGACACTCTAATCAAGACCCCTCTTGTACTTTAGCAGCAGTGTTGCACACATTCTCTCTCACACACACACACACACACACACACACACACACACACACACACACACACTCATTTCTTCACCCGACTCAGTCACTGAGTGTTTTTTCTTTATTCCCTCGTATTATTAAGCTACTCATAGCGAAGTGAAATATCGTCTGATATCTTCCTGCCTTGTGCTACATGACATTTCATTAATACTAATGGTTGTTAAATCAGTGCCTTCCAACCTGAGCAGCCTGGAGTTTTGAAAAGGTCATGCAAATAATTGGAGCCAATATATGATTATTGAAACAGAAAGAGGTGTGCAGCTCTGATGTTTACCTTGTTTTAATGTGATCCTTTAGCTTTCTTTTCCTCACCTTGACAACGGTTAGAAACGGCGAATTCTAGTAATTTTGTGCTTTCTTTGTAGCAGCTTGAATACTTGCAGCAAAAGATTCTCAAGATACGCAGTATTGCAAAATAAAATAAAATAAAATATTCACTCACCAAACACAGTTTAAGTGACATCCTGTAAGGATTTAATATATCTGCCCATCCTTTGCAGCTGCAGCAGCTTGAATCCCTCTGGAAAGACTTTCCATGTGGTTCAGTAGTTTGTTTACAGGAAGATTTCCACATTCATACAGAGTTGCATTTGTGAGGTCAGGCACTGATGTTGTACTTGAACGTCTAGCTGTTAATTCATCCCAAAAATTACATTAATTTTTCAAGTTTAGGTCGGGGCTTGCATTCAGCTGCTCACTGCAGATAAATGACAGCCTCTTTCATAAAACTCCCTCTTATGCTAATCTGAAGGACGCATGACGCTGTATATTTACTCTGTAGAGAGTTTGACCCCTGAACTTTATGCAACTGCTCATCCATGTACCCAACCACTTTCACTTTTGCATAAAACTGTGGGATATTTAGTACAGAAGATATTTCTCCGGTATCTAAAAGAAGTACAGAAGATATATCAATGATATGATATAGCATCATATCATTGAACCGTGCTGAACTCTCCATTCTTTCACAAATGCTTGTAGAAGCAGTCTGCAAGCCTTTAATACGTCTGTGGCCATGAAAACCATGAAAATGGTTACAACGCTTGAATATATTCATGTGGAGTGATTAGCAAATATTCAGACAATAACAAAAATCACAAACTGAAATGTACATCTGCAGGTTTTTATTTAACATAGAAAAGCATCAAAGCCACTTTACTTCCAGTGTTATCTATCAAGTTTATTTCTGTTGATTATCATGTTGTAACTTTTTTTTTTAACTTGGCGAGAGAGAAGATATTTGGGTGATCCTCTTTTTTATGTGGCATAAAGCTAAAAGCCCAGATAGACCTGGTGTATTTGGTGGAACCATTTCTACTGTCCAGTAGAAAATCCTGATGGAGAACATCGAGCCACCAGTGTTTTTTGTCCTCCATAGTGGAGAAAAACACTAATTACTGAAATGACTTAATGACCAGTTGGACGTTTTAGGGGCTCTTACTTTTTCCCTACAGTTTGGCTTGATTTTCTGTTTGACGTAAATGGATTTTCCTAAGCAAACCAGACAGATTTCAGACAGAAATCTATTTTTAAGGTGAAGAGCTTACGTAACTCCACTTAAGAAAAAAAACAAACAAACTCTATCCCTTTAAACTCCTGCTTAAAATCTAGTTTATTCTGTCTCCATTGTTTTCTATATTTTCTCTATACATAAAACTAATTTCACCTCATGCTTGACTTGTAAGTAAACATCATACAAAAGTATAAATGCAGAACTTATGTCTTGAAGAAATGCTAAGCTACTGCAGGATGTACCGTTTATCCTTTGCAGAAACACTCCCTTATCAGAGCTGCAGAGTAAGAAGTTGCTGTTTCGTCAAACACTTTTAAATTTCACGCCGTTCTTTCTTTCCCGCAGCTACTCGCCTCCCGCAGAAGGGTGCCACCACGGGCAGCATCATCGGCGCCATCATCGGGGTCGTTCTGGTCATGGCCGCCATCGGAACAGGCATAGCCATGTACCGCAAACGCAAAAACAAACTCAATTCAGAGTGAGTATCTGCGACCGACTGAGCGTGGACGACTCCGTTTCACTTCGCTTCACTCTTTCTTTTTTCTTTCTTTCTTTTTTTTGTGTGTGTAAATCTGTTCCCTTCAGATGGCACGTCATACAGCGTGTCTCACATTTGTGCGACTCACTAAACATGACAGCTGTGTGTTTTTTTGTTTCAGCGGTCCTCCCAAGTACAAGCCCCCTCCTCCCAAGAAGACCAGCAGCTCTAAAAAGAGGGTGAGTCACACACAAACGCTGTAAAGACAAAGATTATCGTCCAGACAGTTGTGTCAGGTTGTCAGATAGAAACCCAGATTTGATTTGATCGTCTGAAATGTATTGATTGATGTGTGTGTGTGTGTGTGCAGTCACAGCCGTTGATCCCGGGTAATGTCCCAGTGACCCAGGATGCACCTCTGCAGAGTCAGTATTACTCCACCCAAGCCCCAGAGCCCGTCACGGTGAGAACGCTTTCTGACTATAAATGAATCCAACTTTAATTTTAACTTTGCTGGATAATATTTGAGCTCTTCCTAACACCGAGAAGGCCCCTGTGAGCTTCTATCAAATATTCATCACATTACTCAACTCTTCTCCAGAGCATTATGATTTATTTATTAAATGTTTTTAGCTAGCTGCCCTTTAGCAAGATGGTGAGGTCAGCATAAACTGTCTAAACCAATGTATAATATTTTATTAAAGGGGAAGAAAAAGCAAAAAAACAACCTTAAACACAAGCTGCTGTTAGTTTCGCTACAACCCTCCTCATCTGGGGGCGCCACCAGGTGGTGGCCTGGATATAGCAGCGGCAGCCTTATACATCTGCACATAAGCTTTATTTATTTATTATTTTGCCATTTTTCTCTTGTTCAAAGCTTACCAATTTCAGTTTTCCTGTCCACCATGTGTGAAAATTGCATAAAAAGATTCCTGAAATCCAGTTATGGTTTTGGGTTTTGGTTTTGTAAAGCCCTGACTTGCCTCTATGGATTTGAGCATTTTACAGTTTCTGTTCAGTAACTATAAATATTGACATAATAATTTATCTCGACCTAAATATAAAGAAACGTGTCTCCATGCATCACTAAAAATCAACATAATAGAAGACAGTCAAAATGTAAAAATCTAGGATATGAGTACTTTAAAATATATTTATATAAATGACAACCATAAAAGATAAA